GGCCCGTTGGACTGACCTTGATGGTGAGGGCGTTCCACATCTCGTTGATCTCCGTCTGGTGTTCGTAGATGTTCTCGGCCTGGTCGGGGTGAGTCTGCATGAGTCGCTGGGCGGTGTCGTCCAACTCTCGCACCTGATGGGACCACAGCAAAAATGTAGCTCAGTCCTAGGCACAGATTTACGCCGTTTGCAACACAAATAAGTCATACAGGTGCCCAAGATTAGAGGCATTTCTACAGAGTAGCATTAAAAAAACAGAAGAGAGATAATGGTGATAGATGTTTTAGTTTAGTACGGGCTTTTACGACTCGATATTGCATATGTTGGTTTTTTCTCAATAGCTCACTGCTCGGCCTGATTCTGGTCAATGTCACTAATTAAAATTTTTTAAACGCTAAAAATCGAGTGTAAATAGGTTTTAAATATAAAACAACATTCTAAAGAACACTTTAAAATTTCAAACAATCTACTTTATAACTTCCCATAAAGGCCAATGGCCTTCATAAAATCTAAAATTCTGTTGGGAACAACGAAAGAAAAAATATCTTGCAATTTTTTGTATTTAAAGTATTTCCTTTGGGTCTCTCCGAAGTCTAGACATTCGGTTAAAATGCGTCTAAAGGTAAAATCTGTGTCGCATCCGACACAGAACAGCTTCTCATCTCCCTGAAGGAGGTATTTGTGTGCTAGGGCCATGTGTCCGATGCGTAATCGAGTAAAAATGACTTCGTCTCTTCTGGAGAGGCTCAAAGGATTTGGCGGTCTCAGCTTGGGTTCAATGTTGTGGAGTTTGTTATTTATTTGTTTTTTCCAAAGGCTCTCCCACAGACTGGAGTGTACATGGCGATAGCTGTTCCATAGGAAAAAAGGAGCAAACCACACAAGAGCACCCACCAACCACCCACGAATACTGTACATAAAACAAACCCCAAGAGCAGTGCCACTCTTTCACCAACAAACACAATACACATGACAGGCCACTCTTTCACCAACAAACACAATACACATGACAGGCCACTCTTTCACCAACAAACACAACACATGACAGGCCACTCTTTCACCAACACAATACACATGACAGGCCACTCTTTCACCAACAAACACAATACACATGTCACCAACACAATACACATGACAGGCCACTCATTCACCAACAAACACAATACACATGACAGGCCACTCATTCACCAACAAACACAATACACATGACAGGCCACTCTTTCACAAACACAATACACATGACAGGCCACTCTTTCACCAACAAACACAATACACATGACAGGCCACTCTTTCACCAACAAACACAATACACATGACAGGCCACTCTTTCACCAACACAATACACATGACAGGCCACTCTTTCACCAACACAATACACATGACAGGCCACTCTTTCACCAACAAACACAATAC